TGAGAATGGAGTTTTTAATTGGGTAAAATATATAAACATCTTATTCAAATCAACCTGGGCTGGAGCGTGGTCATAGCTCGTCTGGTAAGACGTGGATAGGTTTTAATAAAACACCACGGTCGTGTGTGAGATCAGTCACTAATTTGAACGAGGCACAGAAGGGATGCATTTTGTCCCTAACTTTCTTTTCTTTCTTTTGGCAAGAATTATATATCTTGATAAGCTCCTACCCAGTTACGTCACTTACATTTAAGGGAGGTGACAATAAAAGTTGTAATAGAGGCAATCTGTCAGCACTGCAGACACATTCCTCTTTTCCGTTGCTCCTTTGAAGGAGTTATGTGTATCGTTCAGACTTGACAAGCAGCTTTTATTTTTATCATTGTTAATTGACATCCAAATTGCATGTGTTCATCCGTGCAGGGCGTGGTTTTGATACATGTTACCGTTCGTGGTGATCAGATCTGGATAATTAACGTGTCGATTGCACCCAACGAAAGTTTCTCCTCTAGCCCTTGGCAATATACAAAATATACCAAATGTACAGCTGCTGGCTGTACTCACTGCCTGCCTGTAACTCAGTCTCCCTGTCCCCAGCCTCTGCAACCCTTGTCTTTTCCCGCTTCGGTGACACTGACTCATAAATTCTACATGAGGGATGTCATGCAGTACGTGTTTTCCTGTACCTGGCTTATTTTACTTAGCAGAGTGGCCTCCAGGACCTTCTGTGTCCTTGCAAGTGGCAAGATTTCATCTTTTCATGGCTAAATAGTACTCCGTTATATATGTAACTATACACAGATATGTGGCTGTACATACGCAGACACACACACAGTTACACGGTGCCTGCTTACCTTGCCTGCTCACCCATGGATGGGCCTTTAGGTTGAGTCTGGCTCTGGTTATTGTGAATAACCCTTCAATGAACGTGAGAATGAGGGCATCTTTCTGACGTGCTGGCCTCTTTTCCTATGGTTCCTCGCCCTGCAGTGGGACTGCTGGTTTGCAGATAGCTCTGCTCTCACCGTCTTGCCGAGCCCCCTGCAGCTGTCCTGGGTGGCCGTACTACTGCAGATTTCCACCGGCCGTGTGGAGGGGTCCGGTTTCTCCATGTCCTGGCGTGCCGAGTCTTCTCGCTGCACCACGGCAAGATCTCAGCTGCAAATTACAGAGGCAAACGTTTGGTTGGGGTGAAGAGTAGGTAACTGCAGCCTCGGGAGAGAGCTGGGGGGCCCCAGACAGCTGCTTTGTCCCCCACCTGGGGTCAGCACTGTGAGAAGCCCGGATGGACGGGGGTGTAGAGGAAGGCAGAAGGCAGGGGCTCGAGGTAGTTTTTTGTCACTATGTCTGAATACCTGAGAAAGTCCGCCTGAAGGAGAAAGATTTCTTCTGGCTTACGATTTCAGAGGCTGCAGTCCACGGTTGCTGGATCCCATGGTTTACAGCTCAAGGTGAGGCCCTAAGACTCTCAGCTGTTCACCTCATGGCAACCAGGAAGAGGGGAAGGGGCAGGGAAAGGGGAGGAAAGAAAGGAAGGGTGAGCTAGGAAGAAGAAGGAAGAGGAAGAGGAAGCCAGGAGAGAGGGGAAGGATTGGGAGCGAAGGAACCAGGCCCAGGGTGCCTTTCAAGGACACGCCCTGAGTGTCCTGCTTCCTGCAACCAGGCCCCTCCCGCTAAGTGTCTGCTGCCTCCCAGGGGTGCCAGCTGGGTACCAGGCCGTGACACGGGACCCTTTGGGCATGGTCCTGATCCCACCTGTGACAGAGCTGTGTGCCTCTCAAAGTGGGCTGATCGTCCTCAAGAGGACAGTGCTTGATTTAGAGTAAAGACATTCAAATACCCGATAAAATTTTAGACGTTCCACATGAGGTTTGGACAAGGAAAGGAATAAAAAAGCACTTTCGAACTAGAAGGAAACAAATGACTTGGGCATGTTCTCTCGGCAGCTAAAGGAATTTGGCTGTGTACAGTAGTACTAGAGGTGAGGGCCTGGGCACGGGCGCCAGGTACGCACAGGGAGAAGGTACGGTTTGGGGGTTCTGCGGCACAGGGGTGACATTATATGGTTTATAAAGATCTAGGGCAGAACTCAGAGGCTGCGAACAGCAGGGCACCAGAGGAGGGCAGTGCAGATCACCTTGATTTGACCGACGCACGCCCTGTGCTTGTGTTGGAATCGTCACGCCGGAGCCTCGTCCTGTGTGCACGGGGGACACGTTAATACAAAAGTACAAAATTGATTTGAGGAGTTTTTCTTAAAGATCTCTCATTTTTCTTCCATGTGCTCTGCAGATCTTAAACTGAGTTATGAGCGGTGAGTTCAATGAAATGAAGCTGACGGAACACAAACTTAAAGCGGGCTAGGGTAGCAGGAGAACGTATCAGACCCAGTGTGGGACTCAGTCTCTCGTAGCCCTGCTTTCTTGAGCTTTTTATTAACGAAAACCGCAGTCGTTGGCTGAATTATATTCTTTTAAAGTGTTGTCAGATAGGGTGGGCTTCATCGTACCTGTGTGCTGTGACTGTCAGAGCTGATTCAGGATTCTAGGCACCTGGGAATTAATTTAGAAGGAAAGTCGCTTTTATCTTTTGCTGGTGGAGAGTTGTTCCTGGACTTGCTGATGTGGACAGTGATTGCGGCCCCCGAAGGGTGTGCCCCCGTCACAGGGCTAGTACTTTTTTCTTTTCCAACATCTCAAAGGGCAGAATCTGTAGCTGGACAGGTGTGAAAGCATATAATGCCTAGAGTTGTGTGAAAACCAGAAGGATGAAACTCGGTTTCATCACAATTAAAATGAACAGCGGAACTGAAGTTGGGGACATACTCGTGTAGTCGCAGGATCCGGGGCCTGCGGCCGTGAGAGCAGGGGAGAGGGGACCAGGTCAGTGCTGGGCGGCACCTGAGCCCTGAGTCACCGGCCAGATCCCCATTCCTGCCTGTTTCCCTCCCCACTTTCCTTCTGCCTCTGCCTCAGCATCCCATGGCTGCCATCAGCCCCTTGTGAGACCCCATCTGGGTGCTGTGCAGTCCCCCCACCCGGTGGCAGGCTTTTTCCAGACCAGATGCACCTCGATGTCAGGGATCTAAGCTCTCGTGTGACACGTGCGTAAACACATGTGGGTGTGTAATAGTCAGCTTTTGACGCAATGTCACTGCGTAACGAGCCATCCCAAGAGTCCTTGGCTACAGCAGCACTTACTTTATTTTTTAATCTCATAGGCAGGGATGCTGGTCCTGACCCTGGGTGGCTGGACCTTGGCTCTGGGCTGGCCACGTCGGGTCGTGTGTCCAGTTCTGGGGGGCCAGGTTCACGGCAGTCGTGGAGGCTGGGAGGGATGGCACAGGGCTGTCTCCTCAGACCTCGGCTCAGAACGGGCCTGTCGTCCCTTCCTCTAAATCAGGTCCCAGGGCAGAGCCCAGGTGTCAGTGGGTGGGAAGGAGGTGCTGCAGGGACTGGGGGAGGGAGAGCTGGGGCACTGGGGACCCCCATGCCGGCCTCAGTCCCTGTGCTGGAGTCACAGAGCCATCGACCACAGAGCCATCCAGGCCGCACTTGGAGCTCTGCAGAGGCCTGGCTGGTGGGAGTGTGACCTAGTCAGTGGGGTGCGTCTGTCCCCAGCTGCCCTGTGGGAATGCGCTGGAGGGAGTGGTGGCTGGGCACTCTGCCATCTGTCACCCCAGCCAGAGGACCAACCCTCTGCCCAGATCACCGTGCCCCCAGCTCTCTTTCCCTTTGAACAGTTCCTCTGAACATCCGCCTCTAAACTTTCAGAGCTATTTATTTATTTATTTATTTATTACTGGTCTTTTGAGACAGGGTCTTGCCATGTAGTTCAGGCTGGCCCTGAACTCACCTTGTGTCCAGGCAGCCCCCGAACACATGTGGATCCTCCTGCCTCAGCCTCCTGAGGGCTGGGTGTGACAGGTGTGTGCCACCTGACACGGCTTAAAGCTTCAGAGAAATGTAAACGCTCAGCCACCTGAAGTGCTTGGCCAAGAAGACGCCAAGGATTGGAGACAACTGTTAGCAATTCCTAGAGCCAGGTGTGGGTGAGAAGAAAGTGGGCACAGAGCCGAGGAGACGCCCGTGGGTACCCGGAGGGCACTGCCGTGGCACCCGCGATGCTGAGAAGATGCAGGAGCGCACAGTGGGGTGCATGGCGAGGATCTGGGTCCCCGGGGGCGGGGGCCGAGGCTGGTGCCACCCTCTGGTGATTCCCACTCGTTAGCAGTGGGCACGCGGCATCGTGGAGCTGGCAAAGACGCAGGCCCAGAGCACAGTGCTGTCCGCGTGGCTTCCGGGTCTCTCAGAGTGCAGGTCCTCCTTCCTGGCCGCTGTCGCTTCCACCCTCTGCCTGCTGTGATAGGGGAAGCTCCTAGTTCTTGCCCTGACGGAGGGTTGCTTGGGATATTGTTACGGATGTTTGGGAATCAGCACTCATTTTGTATGAGTATTTTGGGTCGGTACTCATTTTTCTGAATCTTCATGCCTGAAGTTGAGAAACCCCAGCAGGCCCCACGTGAGGAATTCAGCAGGCTCCAAAGCCAGGGAACCATTTTCGGCCGAAGGAGCAGCACCTACAAAGTCTGGGGGGAAACCCTGTGGCCACCTGTGGCATGGCAAGTGCTTAGGAAAATGAAAGTCTCTTCAAAAGGCCGTGGCTGAATCTTCACGGCCACCACGTGTACCAAGTTTTCACCTGCTACCCCGGGCGTGGTGCTGGGATATGAGCTTCCTGGCTATGCTGAGTACTGCAGCTAAGTCTCTTCTTCAGGAAGCTCGCGTGACAGGAAAGGACCCTTTTGCATCCATGGCTTTACCACAGCCTTGTTGCCCCAGGCCCCTGAAGCCGCGCTCAGGTTGGAAGCCAGCATTTCACTGGAGATGGGCCAGGCATCACGAGTGAAGCCAGGCTGGACGGTGGCCCTGGGCTGGGAGGCGATGTCAGTGGCTGGGCTGGGGCCCCGCATCCCTCCCTGACCTGCCCCTCTCCCGCAGGTATGGAGAGTGCAATCACCCTGTGGCAGTTCCTGTTGCAGTTACTGCTGGACCAGAAGCACGAGCACCTCATCTGCTGGACCTCCAGCGATGGTGAGTTCAAGCTCCTCAAGGCTGAGGAGGTGGCCAAGCTGTGGGGTCTCCGGAAGAACAAGACAAATATGAACTACGACAAGCTGAGCAGAGCCCTGCGCTACTACTATGACAAGGTGAGCCTGGGTGCGTGGCGCCCCCTTCTGGTTATTGCTGGAAGGGGGTGACGTTGAGCTGGGAATCAAGTTGGTAAATGAACTACTGGCTGCTGAGGCTTTTTCTTCTCTTTTGGGGGTGTTGGGAGCTGCTATAGGGACTTTTACTTTTCCTTCTTTGGATATCACTAGGAGTCCGATTTTCCTCCCACAGCTTTTTCGTCTGTCCTTTGCGGGCGAGTGACCTGCTTTCCTTCCTTCCCTCCCCTCCCTCCCTTCCTCTTATCTCTGTCTCTGTCTCTCTTAACTCTTTTTCTTTCTCTTTTTGCGGTGCTGGAGATCCAACCCAGGGCCTCGGTGCTGATCTACAATTCCAGCCCCCTTTTCCTTTTTATTTCCAAACAGCTTCTAAGTCCCTAAGTTGCCCAGGCTGGGTGTCAATTTGCAATCCTCCTGCCTCAGCCTCTTGAGTGCTGGGATCACAGGCGTGCACCACAACGCCCGACTAGGCCCATGGCTTTTAAGCCCATAGATCTTAGTGCACCATTTATAAAATGAGAATAATAATAATACTGATAGTATTTGTAGCTTGGCGAGAAATTTCCCTAATTTCCCTTCTAAGTCACAGAGCGCTTTGCTAAGTAAAAGTAGACCCTAGTTGCCAAACCCATCAGAAGTTGGAGTGAGTTTAATGCATTTCTGAGGAATAAACAATGAGCCTGTTAGGACGGTTGTTGCCCTTTAGGATCACGGCATCAGGCCCTGTAATTGTTGACCACGTCTGTTTGCACCTGTTCTTGCTGAATATTGAACCTCCGTAGACAAGAAGGCTCGGAGGCGTAATAACCACACACTTCTGTCCTAGCTTTCCTGTTCGCATTGAAAGGTGAATTAAACACTGATTTAAATATTAGGTCCGGATCTATATTTAGTGCCTCCTTTCTGCCAACCTCTTTGGAACTGAAGACATAAGGATTACACATTTCAGGGAAGTGAAGACATCATTAATTATAAAGTATTCCTTCATACGATTGTAATTGCATATGATTATGTCGTTGAAATGCTAAAGGTGCTTTCCTTCAATGCGGCGATTAATTAGTCCTGATGGGTGCAGAGCCACACTAAGCTGGAAAGGCACTTCCCGCTCATTGCCCTGCCTGGAAGCCAAGCAGATGGCAGATTGTTTTGCTTTTCCCCCCAGGTTCTTAGTTGTACCATGGGAATCGGCCGAGAGGGAAAACAGTCCTTGTTGTGCCTGCTGGCAGAGCGCCCAGAGGCTTGGCATGTTCCCCGTTTAAAGTCAAGGTATCAGAGAGAAGAAGTCTTGCTTCTCTGTGGCTCTGCAGCGAGCGACCTTCCAGGCTGGATGGAAGCGACTGCTCAGGTCTGGGGAGCCCTCACCCCCGACCTGGTCTCAGATCTGCACAGGAAGCCACCTCAGAGGCCCCGGCCAGCTAGCGTGGCTGGCACTTCCTGTCAGGCGCCCACTGTTCTCAGCTGACCACTTCCTGCCCTGCTCTCCTTTAAACCGGATGCCAACCCTGTGAGTCAGGTCCTGCTGTCAACCTGCTCCTTATGCAAATGAGAACTCAAGACTGAGAAACCTGCCTAGGCTCCTTGGGCCAGGAAATGGATTTCAACCCAGCTGGTCTGTGCATGGCTCCTTCCAAAGGCACAAGTGCCCCTGCCTTCCCGGGTGTTCATTTTCTTTGCCTTGGAATATCTGAGTTCCAGGTAGGCAATCGTGCTGCCCAAAGTCCATTTACAACCAAAGAAATTTTTGTTTACTGCCAATTAACTTTTAAATCCAGGTGTGGTGGTGCACACTTGTGACCCCAGCACCCTGGAGGCTGAGGCAGAAGGATTGCCTCGGGTTCAGAGCCAGTCCAGGCTCCATAATGAATTCAAGGGCAGCCTGAACTTCATAGTCAGACCCTGTCTCAAAACAAAGCAAACACACACTTAAAAAAAAAACTTTAGTAATGGATGATCCCAGCCGATGCTGTGGAATGGGTTGAGTTCCACATCTGTGGCCCAGGTGGCCTCTGACACTTGCTTGTCTTGTCCCTTCCCATATGAAAAGCCCCTAAGGGACGTGCCCTAACAGGGAGGTTTCCCTGCCGGAACAGACGGGCGTGGGGACATCATTCTTTTTATACGTCCTGGGTATACTGTAGCTCATTCCAGAGTTTAAAAAAATGGATAGAGGGGGAAATAATGGAAACATGTGCAGAAGACACGGGAAAGACAAGGTCTCATTATGTAGTTCAGAATGGTCCAGGCTGGTCTCGCACTTGTGAACTTGTGGCAGTCTTCCTGCCTCAGCCTCCCAGGTGCTGGGATTACAGTCGTGGGAAACCCCCCGCCGGACTTCAATCACTATTTTGACAAATTTAGGGCAAAGAAAAAAAAGTCAAACCTTCGCACCACGTCCCTGCTGGGCTCCCCTGAGAAAGGGCAGGATGAGAACCTCATGGCTTGGCCTGGGGATCAGGAGAGAGGGAATGGGCACGGAGCCCAGCATAGCGGCAGGCTGAGGCAGCACAAACACCAGTTGAGCCTTTGTGTGGATAAATCCTCCCACACTGTGTTAGGGACGCCCGTTTATATGGATGCAACTTCACAGAACCACTTGTTGCTCAAGCGTCTACCTCACCTGGCATCTGGCACATAATAGTTGCTCAGTAAATGCTAAACAAAGGGGCAAGACTGTGAGATCTGGAAGTGTATACTACTTAGGTACACATCACGTATGTAAATGAAAGTTACACAAACTTAAGGAAAAACTCACTGCCTCGTGGTTATCGACTTAAAACTACAAGGGCCCTATAACCGCAGGCAAGGGTGACCGTATTCGCTCAGTCCTGGAGCCCCACACCCAAAGCTACGCATGGGCAGGCCTGGCGCCCGGATGCCTCTCTCGCCTCTTCCTGTCCCAGCCCCTGCGCTGTGCGGCCTCTGGAGGCCCGGGCAGGAGTGGCTGCGACTCAGGGCCGGGAGTGAGATTTGGGGCAGAGAGGGTGCGAGGCCGTGGTGCTGCCCGCCTAAGCCGAGTCTTCCGGCGGATAACCGCACCGTGCCGCCGCCGCAGGGGTCTTCAGAGCCGCGCTGTTCATCGTGCGTGCGAATCCCAGAGTAACGAGCTTCACCGAGCCACTTTCTACACACGCCTGCGCCCCGATGTCCACCCTGGCCCTCCTCTTCCCTTCCTCTTCTCCAACAGTCTCCCCTCTGCTTTCAGGTCAGCTCCCCGCGCTCCCCGCCCAAACCCCGGACTCTGCAGATGAGAGGAAGCATACAATCTCTGCCTCTCCGAGGTGGGCTTATTTCCCCGAACTCCAGGGGCTGCAGCCCCACTCACTTTGCGGCCGGTGACGTGATCCAGCTTCTTTACGGCAGAGTCGTGCTCCACTGTGCCGCTACCGTGTTCCTTCTCCGGTTCTGCGGTTGGACACCGAGGCTGAGTCCGTGCTTGGTTATCAGCACAGTGCTGCGGTCACCGTGGGTGTGCAGTTTCCCAGTGGGCTGCAGTTCTTTTTTTCATTCCTTACCTACATTTTTTTTTTTTTTTTTGTGGTACCAGGGATCGGACTCGGGACCTTGCACTTGCAAGGCAGGCGGTGGAACCACTGAGCTAAATCCGCAGCCCCACCCCCCTTTTCACTCCTTGATGAAGTTGGGAAGACTTAGTTTTGAAATCCTTCGTCTTGGGATGGGGAAGCGAGGGGCGTATGTTCAGAGCTTGCCCGGGTTGCTTTTAGGTAGGCGTCTGCCTCCGATGGACATGGCCCCATGCTTTCACCTCCGCCTTTTCTGGAGCTGTTCACCCATTCCACTGGAAACATGCTCCCGGGCAGGGCTTCAGCAGCCGAATGGGGAGACAGATATGAAAACCAGTTTTCCCCCCCAAAAAACCACGGGATGGGAGGCAGGCATCGTGGCGCACACCTGTAAGGCAGGAAGATGTTCATGAGTTCGAGGCCAGCCTGGGCTACGACGTAGTGAGTCCCTGTCTTGAAAGCAGATCATGGGAAGCGCCGGAGTGGACATGGTGCTCGCACCTTCGGGAGAGACCCCGAGACAACACCATGGAGAGGCAGTGAGTGTGGGGGGCTGACCTGGGCCTTCCCGACTGAAGATGTCTCCCAGCTGGAAGAGATAGGAAGGAATCCCGAGATGGGAGGAGCGTGTGCAAAGGCAGGGAGCGTGGAAGAGCTGGCCTTTGCCAGGCCGGGGTTATTTAGGGCCTGTGAGAGATGTGGGCCGTGCGGGCGGAACGGTACCAAGCCGCACCAGTCGGCGCTTCCCAGTGAGAGCCCGTGACGGCGAGTGCCGTGATGGGATTTGCATTTTAAAATAAAAGCCAGCGTCTCCGCTTACTCTCCTTGGCGTTGGCCTCCAGGCGCTCCGATCCCGAGGCGCCCGCTG